AGGGGGGGGTCTCGGCTGGCCTGGGTCCCACAAGTTTGTTTGCCTAGGCCCACTAAAGGATTAATCCAGCCTGGGTTTGGTGCTTTTTTAAAGGCTAGGATGGGTGGTTCTGGAAAGATCTCTTTGAAAATTGGATCTTCTTTTAGTACGGGTTGCAGTTGTTTGTGGATTTTCCATATGGGTTCCAGGGAAGGATGGTACATCATAACCAACAACCCTGTATTCCTCATAAGGCACTAGTACTGTGGTCCAGATTATTAAAATACAATGAGACACCACATATATCTTTCCTCTCACACGTACAGACATTGTAATAATTTTGTTTTGTTTTAAGATGCAGCTACTGAATCAAACTCAGAATGTGGATCTTAAACAATTTGTTTATACACCCAAATCTTTGCTGCCAGCATTGCCAAGGTACCATATTGTTATGATTAATATAAGAGAAGTCACATCCTATATATTTCAAATCCTTTAATTTATCTAAGTACTCAAGGGTTATTTTCTGAATCAAATTAGTTTTAATTTTTAGCCTTCTTTTGACCTGTGTTTTCACTGATTTGTTTTATTAATTTGTATGAAGATCTGAATATGCAGAGTCTCCTGCATCGTCAGTAGATCAGTGTGAAAATGTTGATAACCTTGGAAGATTTGAGAAACAACTACCACAGGAGAGCTATGAAAAGATTAGTAAGTTAATATTAATACATGAGGCTTTCTATGATTTTTCACTGTCTTGATTTAACTTGAATGTTTATTGTAAAATCAGACCTGTTGAAACCAGTAAATCAACATAGCAATGCAGGAAACTGCACATTTTAGATTATACAGTACCCTCAATACTTTAGTTTTCTTTCTGATATCAGTGGAAATTACAAGAGTAGAGCTACTCAAATAAGATCCTTTAAAGGAACTCTTTAGAGATTAGTTCTAATACAGTTTAAATCTAATTATGTAAATACTACTGGGTGTGGTACTTACAACTATGTGTATTTACATTGAAGCCAAGCAGAAGATAAGGAAGGGTGGCCTTGTGGAGACTAACTGGTTCAGTAGTGTATCCTCTATCTTTTCCCCTTGCCTCCTTTTCATAGTAACTGAAGAATTTGAGTGAAATTTTAACACTCAGTATGTGTGGTAGTATTTGTAAAATTGGCCTTTTAAGTAGGTAAGTTCACATTTTGTAGGACATCTTTCTTTGTATCTGTAGTAAGAAACCATTCTGTGTTTTAACACCTCTCAAGGTTGTAAATTTTCCATAAACTTTTGTGTAGTAATAGAAAACATTTTCCCCAATTCTTCTAATCACTGTTGATGAAGGTACTAATGTTATTACACAATATGCATTGTATGTAAGTGCAAAGATATTAATTGTTCTTAATTTCTAGTGCTCCATTATATTTTATTTTTAGAGTGATATAGAAAACACTGCTTAAAAAGAGTGTAAATCTCCAGAAGTATACTGCCTCCATATCTACTTAATATTTTTTAAAATTTTGCTGCCTTGGTGAATGTTCTTAACTCTACCTCTACCTAATTGTCACTGTAATTGATTATAGTTCTTTGGACCTGTAATAAATTCATTATTAATTTTATATTTTATGTAGTATATAATTTTACAGAACATGTCATACTCGATAATTAAATATCATATAATAAATGGCAAGTGTTATAGATAAGATATATAATTAAAGTTTAAAATAGGAAATGCAAGAGATTACCTTTTTTAAAAGAAATTACATAATTTTAAGTGCTTTACCATTCAGATTTTAAAGCGTGTTAGTCCATTGTGATTAGCTCTTGGGGAAATGGTAAATAGGAGAAAACAGTGCAGAGAAAAAGAGACTGGGTTTGTAAATATTAAACTTGCTCTCAGACCAGAATTTTCATACACTCACAGGGAAAAAACTGAAGCTCATATGATTTAGAATATGCATTAGAAGGGTCATTCACTGGAATCTAGAATGAAGAGGACTGTTTCTTAAAATAATATTGGAAAAGAGTGCATATCTAAGCTGTCTTTTTTTAATGAAATCACTATAGATTTATCTTGGAAACATTCTTCAAATGTGGGTGAGAAGACCCATCAGGCAATGATGTCAAATAAAAATCTTGAATCTTCAATGCCTAACTTGACTGATGCAGATAAAAGCAGCTCTTGGTTTTCAAAGGCTCTGAATGTGAACTTTGAGTTGGGAGATGAGGTTTGGGATGATTTTGATGATGAGAAATTAATATATGCTTGCAGCTTTTCCAGTGATCTGGCAAATAAAGATTTAGGTAAGATTATATTTTTGTAACATGTTTTTTATCATTCTTGCTGAATGCTTACAGAATAGACAATGTACCAGTTAGACTTCCCTAAACCAGCTTTTACCCTGTTCTGCTATAAGTACTTCGAGTTATAGAATCATAGAAGAGTAAGGCCTAGATATTTTTAAATCTGCAGGTCCAGATGACCTCCACCAAAGAGTGTTGAGGGAGCTGGCAGGGGTCATCACGGAGCCCTTGGCTTGGCTGTATGAGCATTTGTGGTCATCTGGCCAGGTGCTGGGGGATTGGAAACTAGCTAATGTCCCAGTTTTCAAGAAAGAGAGGAAGGAGGACCCAAGTAACTATAGGCCTGTAAGCCTCACCTCAGTCCTCGGGAAGATCTTGGAGAGAATCATCAAGGAGCATATCTGTGGGGCGCCTGCAGGGGAGTTCATGCTCAGGGGCAATCAGCATGGGTTCATCAAAGGCAGGTCCTGCCTGACCAACCTGATTGCCTTTTATGACCAAGTAACTAAATCCTTGGATGATGGTGTCACCGTGGACGTAGTCTTTCTAGACTTTAAGAAGGCCTTTGACACTGTCTCTCACCCCATCCTCATCAATAAATTAAGCGACTGTGGCATTGATGCCTGCACAGATGGATGGGTAAAAAATTGGCTGAGGGGGCGCACCCAGAGAGTAGTGGTGGATGGTTTGTACTCAACCTGGAGAGATGTGAGCAGTGGGGTACCCCAGGGCTCGGTCCTTGGGCCTGCACTGTTTAACATCTTCATCGGCGACTTGGATGAGGGGGTGGAAAGCATGCTGCCCAAGTTTACTGATGACACTAAGATGTGGGGCGAGCTGGACACATTTGAAGGGAGAGGGAGGCTGGAAACAGATTTAGACAGACTACAAAAGTGGACAGATGAA